CTAGCTTCTATGACTTCATCTGGTTCTCTTCAGTGCCTCGGGAGCAAAATGCCTTTGTTTTACTATTTAACTCGGTAACTCTTGACAACCTCACATTTCACCCCAGGACAAGTAATTGTTTGAAAAACCCTGTAACTGGAGTGTGCTAGCACTGTAAACCTAGTACAGTATGGTACCTGGAAGGACGTATTCACGACCAAAGTTAATCCGCGGACTTGCTTTCTCCGTGGATCAAATATGGCCAATCCACTTGAAAGCTTGCCGCGTGTTCCCCGCAGGGAAACTATTCAGTGTTTATTAGGGGGTCGTGCTGCAAGCTTTCAAGTGGATCAACCATATTTGGTCCACGGATCTATTAGTCCGCGGATCAACAGGCTGTGATGGCGGCTAAAATATATATATATAGACCTATTGCGCATGACGTCATGACCGTGTCAAGAAACTGGGTTCTGGGTAACAATCAGACTTCTCCCTCCATTAGATTGGTATAGGATAGGGATGGCGTGACGTCAGTGGGTCAAAATCTTAGCAATGGGAACTGGAGAGCAGTCTATCATAGGGGGAGTCTCTACACCGACACATGGAACCTCCATGTAGGCCTATGTGTTGATAAGCAAAGCTAAACCATATAAGAAATTGGTATCGTTATTTTTCTTGGCGTGACATTAACGGCTCATTAAAAGATGTCGTAAAGTATTATTTTAGTATAGATACAAACTGTACCTAACTCCCCATTCAGACTAAAAACTTCCGTTCTTTCAGACTTTTCTATCTTCCCTTTCGTTAGATCCTGCGGTGACTTCATTCACGAACATTTGCTGACACATTTTTACTTTTCTTGTTTCACTGATGGAAGGTAGTGATTGCAGAACACAATAAGGGGGAATTGCCAAAGACAATATTAAAACCATGAAGTTTGTTCCGAAAGGAATTCCACCGAGATGCCGATCATTTAAACCGCGTGTATTATTTGTAATAATTGTTTTTGACAAGTTTACTTCCTCATTTAAAGTTTAAATAAACACCACTTGACTCAGCTAAAAAAAAGTGGACTTTCTCCCGAACTTCCTGGTACGTGATTGCTTATCCATTATACTTTTAATATTTTTCCTTTTTTGCCAATTTTTTGGCAGCTGCGTGAGCATCAAAACAATAGATGCGCGTTGCATTGTGGGTTCTAAAAAAAGGCGTTGCTTTCCAAAGCATCAAAAACAGTTCGTATTTTCGCTTTCCGCAGCAGGTCGTCTGCTGTCGTATTTAAACGGAAGTGACGCATGCGCAAAATCGCTATAGAGTCCATTATAAGTCGTGTATAAGTTGTGTCCTGAGTAAGGGTGTCTATTTCGTGGTAAGCACCCAGTCGTTCAAATGGTAATAAACTGCCACCTAATGGAAATATTAAACCCATTGCCGTCGTGAATGTCAATGCTGCAGCCCATGTGGTGAATCCCACCAATAGTGTATGTGTATATTAAACGTAAGAACCTTTGTGTTGCCCGTGTTTAGTTAAAGTAGTTATTTTATCAGTTTTGCTTTTTCTTTCTTTACATCGCTTTGTAGATATTAAAATGTGTTTTTTAGAAGGATCGGATGGTGCGTCATGGGTGACCAAACACCCTTTTACAATTCCACTTCTGTCTTCATTTAGTTTGTCTTCTTTTAGAATGCCGTTGCACGTATTGAAGATCGTGCGTTTATCTCTCCCCTGTTTCTGCACCAGCCTCCCCTTTCGTCGGTGAGTGAATCACAGTTTAATCTCTGCACATTTATATTTAACAATACACTAACACCACCACTTTGACATGCAATTTTGTCACGACCCCTCCCCCCCCCCCCAACATAAGTATAATATTGAATTCACGTTGGTTTAGGCGTCTTTTGTCCATATCAGGTATCGTCAAACCAGTTGCTCTTGTCTGTTTCCAGGAATCGGGTATGATCAGATATATTCGGCCATTTTCGCATTTTACTTTATAGGGCCTATATATTCCTAGAAACTGCATCATCCGAGTTAACACTACAATTAGGATATCTTGGATCCTAGCCTACAACCATGCATTCATACAAGTTATAAAATAAAACAAACATATGCATGCACACTTCTTTTGACTAACAACAGGACTTCAGTGACGATGCATTTATATGACAATATTATTTCTTATTGTCACATATCAAATTCACTTGTCTCTATCTCCATTCCATTTATTGCTTAAAAAATAAAAGCTTAGAAAAAATAACGTAAAGATCGCCTTTTGGGCAATGTTTTAGACCTCTAAGGCCTACATGTATGTTATAATGATTATCGGTAGTTTAGAGCAAAATGCTGAAATTCCAAGAAATAATTAAATTGCAAATTAAAGTTCCAAAGTTAATTGCTTTAAAATGTGGACCTTTTTAAAATATGATTCTTGATTCGTGAATGTACCTGGATCAATTTTTACCCAAAGCGGACCTTTTTCCGGCAAAAAGGAGAGTTGTGCTTTCGAACCCCACGACCCCTCCACCCCCCCCCCCCCCCCCACCCCCCCACCCCCCACAGGGGGGGGTACGGGCTTGGTATAATATAAAGGCTCAGAGGGCACTGGTCTTCTGTTCTCTCTTCTATCTCTGCACTGACATCTACCACACGTCACGGGCAACCTCTATCAATTAATGTATCTTCTTCTGGATGACTAAAAACAAAACACATCAAGGCCGAGTCATGAAAAATGCTATCAACATTCCCATCTTTTTCCTTTCTCTCCTAACAATAATTTGAGCTAATTGTTTTACTGTGCCCCCTTCAACCGCTGATAATGCGGTATTCCTTGAGCGTCATGCGTGATTATATGTCTAAATATTCAAGGGGTTCATAGAAAAGGCTACTATCTGTAGTAAAAGCTAACTGTCCTGTGAAGACAGTCGAGTATTTAGCTTGTTCTCCACTGACGACCTTTATCATGCACTTTACTCAGGAAAATAAAAATATGAGAAACAGTCACGAAAAACCCGGGAGCCAAATTCCATTATGCTTGCCCCGGGCCTGTATATTTCATACACTGATCCATATCTAAGCGTATTCAAGATTTCGTTCTGATAACAGACGATGCAGGGCACGTTGGAGGGATTCAAGGCCCCCGGGGTGGATAATAAGGAAGACGCGTGTGATCAACTTAGGTAGTGACTAAGGAGTCGTAGTTATCTCACAGAACTACATTAAATCGAGGTTTAATATACGCACTAGGTTTAGAGGAGCATCAGACGCCGGACGCACTGTCACTCTCTCTCTCTCCCTCGGTCGCCGACCCANGGATATATTCGGCCATTTTCGCATTTTACTTTATAGGGCCTATTCCTAGAAACTGCATCATCCGAGTTAACCCTACAATTAGGATATCTTGGATCCTAGCCTACAACCATGCTTTCATACAAGTTATAAAATAAAACAAACATATGCATGCATACTTCTTTTGACTTACATCAGGGCTTATATGACAATATTATTTCTTACTTTCACATATCAAGTTCACTTGTCTCCATCTCCATTCCATTTATTGCTTAAAAAATAAAAGCTTAGAAAAAATAACGCAAGGATCGCCTTTTGGGCAATGTTTTAGACCTCTACGGCCTACATGTATGTTATGATGATTATCGGTAGTTTAGAGCAAAATGCTGAAATTCCAAGAAATAATTAAAATGCAAATTAAAGTTCCTAAGTTAATTGCTTTAAAATGTGGACCTTTTCAAAATGTGATTCTTGATTCGTGAATGTGCCTGGATCAATTTTTACCCAAAGCGGACCTTTTTCCGGCAAAAAGGAGAGTTGTGCTTTCGAACCCCACGACCCCTCCACACCCCCCCCCCCCCCC